TATATATATATATATATTGATAGAGAACCAAAGAACAAAGTGAGCATTGGAACGCAGAAAGGTCTACTGGGAATGGAACGAACAGCAGATAAGGTTGAAATGAACGCCAACTTGGTGCGACACCACCCTTGTACCATTGCACTCTGACCATCGGAACCAAGATCAAAAGGATGATCACTGAGCAAACAACTCGACTGTTTCATATTCGATGACGTCACAACGATACAAGCATTATGAGCAAAATTAATAATCAGAGGCAAAAACAGCATAACACGGGCGATCTGTCACATTGAGCGCTAATACAATCGGCGATTTACATCGATTTTCACAAATTAATCGGAACCCAAAGAATCGAAGATGTTGTTGGATCGAACCAGTGATAGCAAAGTGACTATCACGGCACTTGTAATACTAGAAAAATAACCTCCTGCTTACGTTTAAAAGTTGAAGTCCTTCAGATACTTTTCGATGTGAAGGGGTTACAAAACATACAATTGCGGGCAGGAAGACATTATTTGTCATCGTGATATAAATGATGAGTTGGGAACAGCTTTTAGAAATCCCTCAGCTAAAACATCAAAGCATCTATTATTCGCCAATATGTGTATAATAATTCCCAAGTCTGGTTGAAACAAAGCGTGATAGATTTGGGATTAGTTTATTCATTCCTAGAGCTTTCTTTAGCCTATCTAACACGTTCACCCTCCAATCCTGGACCAACGTTCGCGACCGAGGTTTGGAGAAGTAAGCGTTGATCCGGTATTTTCCAGAGCTATCATAGATGGAGAAGCGAAATGGCACTTGACACTGTGTCACTCTTAGCACCCAGCATCCGCTGCATCATGCGATCGGAAATGACGTATTGCGTCCACCACACACGCTTCTCAGGGCGGCAACATTTGAATACAGCGAGTGGATTAACCTCCTCGTCACGAAATGGCCAATCTTCGTACTCTGACAGTGGTCCCTCTGGCAATGTGGCTTCGTACGTCGAGGAAAGGAGTAACGCTAATCGACAAACGCACTCAATAAAGAGTTGTTGGCTAAGTAAGGCTCATCGCGACAGTAGACGAATACTACTTGGGCTCATATGCAATAGTATTGAGAAAACTTAACGGAAACCTTTAACTGATCTAAACAGATCTGTGTATTCCACTGGGGAGGGAGGGTGAGAATGGAGTTTGATGATAAAAAGTTGGTGGGAGTATCGGACAGTCGCCAAAGTAATACACGATATTATCAATATTTTTCACCGAGATGGCCGAAACACCGAGCCAAGATAAGGATCATGTTCGTTTTTTTTCTACAGCTAATTCTCTAACAACAAACCAAAAAGTATAACAACTCAGTGTTTTATGTAAGTGGGCACAGAGAATCAGAGACCCTTATTGACTGCAACAGCTCAGCTAGATATGTGGCAGGAATATATTAGTGCGTGTTTTACAGCAAGTATATCGAACAGGAAGCTTTCGAGATTATATTTCCACCCAGGAAAGCAGAACCAGTTTGCTTATACATCTCACTATCAAACTCCAAGGGGAATACGGTTAGAGGCATACAGAATTCTCTCGTAGTGATCTTCGAAGAAGTGCGATGGGCATAAAGGTCGCATGATTTCCGTTCCCAACTCATCATCCATGATTTCCGAAAAGTTATAATCCGCTTTCAGGAACGCGAGACACACATCTGATCTGTTGATTTCAAACAGGTGAATGAGCCACCAAACGATCAGGATGACAGGTTTTTGATGCGTCAATTATCCAAAGTGATGGGGTTTTCTATTCTAATTTAAAATTTTTTGGTAAAACTAAAATATTGGTGTGTAAGAGATAGAGTCTTTTGAGTCGCGATGACACTTTATTAGGCAATTACATATAGCTCGGTTAAATCGTACTTAAGAATGAACTCCCAACAAAACAGATGTTTTTGTATACCTCGAATGGGGACAAAAGGCGAAAGGCTGAGGTTAACTCATGACATATTATGAGGAGAAGGAGAATAGGATTCTTCCATGTGAATCTATCGTTTCTACTCCCCGATTGCAACTTCAGCTGTTTGATTGTTAAGGTAAGCATCGTTCGTAGTGGAAATCACTGAATGAGTGTTCTACGACGCGTAGTTAAATTATATTCTATCGGGGATTTTTCAACTCTAAGCACTTGAAAACAATTCCTTTGATGAATTTCCAGAATCAGGTAGCATAATAAACGTTCAATCTGTAATCTGATATACCACGACACCTTTCATCTAAAGAAACATGTAACACCATTAGTCTAATAGTGTGAAATACTCATGAATCTGCTGAGCGATGGAAAACAGCCAAGACGGAGAGCGACAGAGAGTGAAAGTGAGCATTGCCAAACTTGGCAATGACTGGAATCGATTTCCCCATGGAAGCCACATGACTGGACTGGGGGAAGGAACAATGCCTGCGCAACACACACATGTGGCATTACGTATGCAAAGAATGAATAGAACAAATGAGATTGATTTTTCATAGTTGAAGAGAGGCGCTTCATAGGAAGGATACATTAAACGGAATATGAATAAAATAGGATACTCCATGGATGAACCATTTACCCGTTTACATAAACAATGAATGCATTCTTTTCAAATTTTTATGATTACCACTGCACTAGAGTTTATAGTCTAACGAAGAACGTATACTAACTCCCAACAAGTTTCTCCGATAAATCATTTACCAGGGTACTTGTTAAAATTGAGACCAGAAATATGTTTTAAACGTGGGAAAAGCTAGCCTTGAAGGAATAAGAACTGGTTCCTCTTGAATCTTATTTTCGTTAGAAAGTAACGACAATGGTCCGGAAGGTGGACAGGACTTGCACTTCTAATTATAAAGCAGTTACACCAGCTGTTAAAAAGAACGATAAGTGCGAACTAGTTGAAACATTCCGGATACATACAACCTAGCAGATAAAAGCAATAATCAAACTAAATGCATTTCAATCCCGTTATAAATTTGAACATGCAAGATAGAAGACAAACACTGCGAGAGGAATTCCTTTCTTATGCTCTCATCGGTCGAGTACGTATAACATTGAACAAG